TTTTTTTTTAAGTACAATGTATTTGTAAATTTGTTTTTTGATATTTATTATCGTTTCGCAATTTAAATTCACGTTGTTCCGTTAGTTGTCTTGTAACGTTTAAACGCGTCGAATTCTCTTGTCGATTTAAGCACGCAATTATGCAGTGAGGCCTTTTAAATGTGTCACTGGATACAGCTCTTGGCTCTTGGCTCTCTGTACACAAAGACTTCTCGCTGGCGGAACTGCAAAAGTGGCAGACGGGGTAACTGATAACCATTTTCCTATCTACATATCTGCCAGAGTAAATATCACACATTATCATAGAAGTAAATATAGAAGAGTATAAGTACTTATCAGCAATTTATGGACCAACTAGGAGGTTATGTATGGGGCTATGACGCCCGGCATTCACATGCATGGACGTTTGTATGTATGCATACAGCAATTGAAATAATCAAGGTGATTTCCAACTTAGTTATTATTATTTTTTCTTACTTTGTTCTTTTCTTACTTATTTCATTTTATTTTTAACTTAAATTTTATTAAATTAACAACTATGTAACTGGCACGAACAGGAGTATATAGCAGATATTGACAAAATATATTGCTTGTTATTAAAATTGCACTCGCACGCTGCCACTGATTCAGAATGTACCTAAAATATGAGTCATTTTCCCTTTACGAACTTAGTTACTGATAATGATGCGTTATATCTATATACATACATACGTACTTAAGTAAGTATATACAAACATACATATGATGATTTAAATATTATACCTTTCATGAACATGAAATGGTATTACAACTTTGGTCGGATGTTTGTAGGCTAGGTTGAGTTAGAAGGCCCTGTATGGAATATTCCATACTTTCACTCGGAGACAGAAATGTCCGAGTGCCAGAAGGAGGCAAGTCCCCATAACCGAGAGAAAAGCTATGTAATTTGAAGTCATTATTCTACTGAATCCCTACTGAAGCCGAGGAGATCCAACAGTTCCACCTCCGTTAGCTTGCCCAGACTGTTGAAGAAGCGTGAACGCAAGTGCTTGAGGTGCTTCGTCTGTAGACCTGGAAATCGACACAGAAAGTGGTCAATGGACTCTTCCTCATCCTCATCACGGCAGCTCCAGTAGACAGTGCTTCTTGCTATTCGCCAACGTTGAAGCATTGATACTGTAGTCTGATCCTGTGTTGACGCCGGTAAAGACTCTTACTGCAGACCTATTGAGTTTCAGCACGTTCTTCGTATGTTTAGTACTTAGCCGTGGTCAAAATAATCTTCTGATCTCACAGTTTATTCAACAAGTCATTAGTCGCGGTCACGGTGTATTCATTAATTTTCCCAACGTGATTACTAAAATTTGGTAGTACGGAGCTATCCGCTTCTTCTATCGGCATATCTGACTGGATCTGGCCATCTTATCAGCCGACTCATTCCCTCCAATATTGCTATGTCCGCGAAGGCAGCATAGAGGGACGTTAATACAATTCCTGATTTCACTATTTTACATCCTATTGCCTTCAGTGCTGCTTGAGTGGCGACAAAGATCGTGACTTTATCTTATGGAACTCTATTACTAAATATTTAAAAAAACTTGCGTAGATCTTTGCTTAGAAGACACTTCAATCGTTCGGTATACGAAAGGACCGGTTAATCTAAAGGTCCTTCGAGTATAGATCGGCTCCGGTTCCTTATTAAACATTTGAACCATCAGTATAGATGAATGTACCTCCCTCTGCTACTGGCAGTCCTGCATCCCATTCTTCTCTGCTCGGAAATATGTATAATAGGCACCTAAGTATTGAAGTCCCTCTGCTACTGGCAGTCCTTCATCCCGTTTTTCTCTGCTCGGGAATATAATAGGCACCTTAGTATTAAAGTCCTAAATAGATGTTATGAATTCAGTGCTCTCTGAGCCTGAGGGCGCTCTTTGCGGCCGTACCATTGATGAACATTTACAGCGGTTGCAAGTGAAATATGATCTTAAGTCCTTCCTGAGGTGCGCTACTCACTGCTCAAGATATGCCAAGGCATGCGAGTCTTTGCACTTTTCTTATTATTTTTCTATTATGCCATTTATCCTGAGCCTTCCACCATACTAAAAACATGTGGGTTGCAACTGGTCTGATAATTGTGGTGTACGTCCCATAGGTGACGTACGATGATAGTCACCATACGCCAATCGAACTGAGAGCAACTGGGTGTGATGTCAAATTAGTGAGATAATGAGGTAGTAAAGAATAATTTTGAAGAAGAATGAAGGAATATATATGAAGCTAAATAGTGATGTAAAACTAGGTACAATTGTACCTACTCTTCTGCCTATTAAATTTGAATTTTCGTGCTTTCGTGAAGCCCATAGATGTTTACGAAATCATAATTAAGAAGAAAAAAAATTTAGTTTTATGTTCCGTCTGATGTTAATTGAACCCGGACCCTCTTGGCCGCAACCAATTGTATCAAGCGTCTTTGCACACTTAGCTACAGCCATACATGTAAATGTGTTTTCAAATGTTGAGTTTGAATTGACATCACAGCGCGCGATTAGTGCATTATGTCATACCATGTATGGGTGTATGTGTTGTCACCGCTGTGCATGCCCTGCAAAAAGTGGCACTAGGTTAAGTATTTACTAGTACAGGACCACGCTACCTTGTAACCAACACTAGTAAACAAAATGGTCCAAATATATGGAGAAAATATGGTAACATTAACATTGCGATGTCATTGGACCTGACCACCTCTGGTCCACCGCTGCATAACATGGGACCACTTCTGGTCCTCCACTGCATAACATGGGACCACTTCTGGTCCACCACTGCACAACATGGGACCACCTAGACAACTACTCCTTTTGGACCATGGCACATTCGGCAACCGAATAATATTGACGATCGGCCACGAATAAGTGTTGTTCAACACATATATCAGTTTTTTTACGTTTGAAGTGGTCCAGGTCAGCATAACAAGTTACTAGTATGCAACCTGGTCCTTTTGCTCATGCTTTAGAACTACGACCCAGTGGACCACCTGAGCCTCAAATTTTTGCAGGGTGCTTTGTATACATATACTATCTTAATTACATATGAAAAAGCATCCGAGACGTGCAAAACGCCATCCGTGTAGTGAAAAATGCTTAATTTTAATACGGGCGTATTTGAGTTGAATATTTCTATTATACGTAGTGGTATGTATAGTGGAAAAATCCATTTTATTGAGACATTTCACTTGATTTAAATACGAACCTTTTTAAACGGTAATCAAATAAAAAAATTTTATTTTTTTTTATTCCTATTTATTTTGTAAAATATGAATTAGCAGAGCATTAGGAACCACACCTACACTGGCGCTTAACATACATATGTTAAACACGGCACCTGCGGGTATTGCAGACAGAATTGTCGCAGCACGAACTGCTATTGGGCAAAGGGAAACCGGGTCCTTTTGTGACATAAAAAAGGAAAAGAAGTCGTTTCTCTGCTGCAGCAATTGTTTTTATAGGGCACTTTAAAACACTTTACCTTTCAAGGGCTAGTGATGGGGGTTCTGACCAGCGTTGCCGCTTTCGTAATTTTTTTCCAAAACTGGTAATTTTTTTCTTTTTAGAACGAATTCTGTAATTTGGTAATTTTTTTCAACATAAGTCTAAAGTTTTTAATACTAACTTATTACTTATGAAAATTTAGACCTTTTAACCTTCTTAAAATAACGCAAAAAATTTGCTTGTGTACATATGTATGAGTCTGCACCTTAAGAGAGCCAAAAATATTAAAGGCCCTTTCATGTTACAATTTGCTTTGACAACACAGAACTTTTGGGATGAGTGAGCAATATAGCTATTTAAAGAGACCACTAATTTTCCCTAATATGGTGGCAACCACAACCCCTACAGTCCCACAAATCAGGATCTTGGATCATTTTTACCTGATTTAACCAATGGTGAAAGAAAATAACTTTACAGTATTAATTACAATTTTGCAATTAAATACGAATGTGACCCACTCATTAAACTGTAAAAGTAAAATCTCTCGTTTATCGATACATTTGCTGGTTTAATGTTTTAATTCATGTTTTCGTTTTAAGTAATGTAAAACACGCCTTTTAAGTTTTTGTAAATCTCTGCGCGATTTTTTTGTGTTATGTTTTAAAAATATTTGTGAATTGTTGTAGTCTGAACACACTGAAAAAGACGACCAAAGCTGTAAATTGTTCAATGACATCATGAATTTGTATGAACTTGTCATAAAAGGAGAGGAGGAACCTTATCTGTCGCTCAAAAAATATATATACATCTAAGCTGGCCACAACTAAAGTCGTGGTGTAGCTCTGTCGCCGCCAAAATAATTATCTACTTAAGAATACGTGGAAAAATAGTTTGACGACGGTGGTACATAACTCATCATCGTCAAGGTATTTCGGTTACAATCATATATTATTCTTAATATCAAGATAAAGAGTCGGGCCAACTGTAACATTATCTCAAAAATATTAAGATTAACTTTATAATACAAAAAATAAAAGACGATTATGGCGGGGACTATGACGAAGGCAATAAAGATGCCTCGCAGTCACACTCGTTTGCCTCAGTAAGGGTCGTTTTCTCAAGTAACCTATAACTTTAAAGCTCACTTTATATTTAACGGTTGCTTTAAAATTTATGATTATGTCTAAAGTAAAGCAGTTTATTACCGGTTTTAAATTGGCTTAAACAAGGAACATACATACGTCATAAACCGATAATAGAAATGCTTAACTTTAGACATAGCTTTATTTTTAATACAAACTTTAAATATAAAGTGAGCTTTAAAGTTAAAGGTAACTTCAGAAAACGGCTCTAAGTGATAACCTTGAACACCAAGCTTATGCCGTTTGGGCTCATGTAAAACAAGTTTAGCAGAAAATATTACTTAACAGATCATATGTTGATATATTGCACATATTTTCTGATGAACATACAAGTCATTATCGAAATCGGAAGGATATCCACTTATGGCTTAAACTCTTAGTCAATGAAACCCACATATCGACAGCTACCTGGATTTTTAGCAAGCCAGGTCATGTTAAAGGACCTTTTCTGGACCATCATTCATTACTTTTCGCGATAAATTCAAAAAGATGTAATTAACGACGACCTTTTCCAATTTATAACAGTGAAAAATCTATTTCATAATAAAGTTCATGTTTTTATTTCTACCGTAACTAAACTTCTCCACTAGGGTTGCCAGATTCTGATACGGAGAAAGGAGTACATTTCTATTCTCGATAGAAAAAGGCAATACAAACTTAACCAAGGAGTACCATTTTTTTAATTTTTTTGTGCAATTTATTTATTACAAATTTCCGCTGTGGTGTAGTGGTTAGCAGTGCACGCTACCATTCCGCAGGGTCTAGGTTCGAGCCTGGTGTAACCCAGTATGAATGGCAAAGTATATGATAAACAAGTAATTTTTAAGTAAAAAACAAAACCGACTTCAATTCTCCTATAAAAATTTAAGATTATCGTTGATTTCTCTAATGAACGGATCTAAACCAAATTACGAGACGACCCTTGAGGTACCACCTTTCCTTAAAAAAAAAGAATTGTAGAAATCGGTTAACGTGGTACAAAGTTTTGCGGTACCACACATAAATAAAATATTCCGATGAATTCTCTTTTTTGAAGTCGGTTAAAATTGAATAGCGGGAAAAAGAAGTACAAATCTGGAAAAGGAGCAAATTTCCAGATTTTTCTTTTTGGGAGTACATTGCAATAAAAAAAAGGAAGTTTACTCCCAAAAGCAGTACGTCTGGCAACCCTATTCTCCACCTCCATGATTTTGATCCACATAAACATATGTAGCTACCTTAAGGAGTGTCACGAAAAAAAGTTTAGTGTTGTAATTTAATTTGAACTTTTAAGCCGAGAAAAAATATTGGGTATCAACAGATAAATTGAGTTTTTTGCTATAACTTTCTTATTTGATGTCCGATTTTTTAAATCTTTATGTCACTGAAATAGGCTCGCTCAGTACTGTAGTAATTAAGGTTTTGCCCGTTTTGATTTATACCTTCACTAATTTTGGAAATACTATCTCTAGATTTTTATTTGTATACTATAATTCTAAAGGTATCAAAAAATGGTGAGAACTTTGCTAAAAAATATTAGGCGTTTACAGAAAGGTGAAAAA